ACAATATTTTTATATTTGTTCACTGATAGATAATTTTAAAGCAAGTTTTAGGAATTTGATCCTTTTCTGGTATAACTTAGAGATTTTAGAAGATACGAAAATACTGTGGCTAGAAGCTTGTATATGTTAAAATAGTGAGGGACATGATTTCTGTATGCTTTTCATCAGGCACTGCTTATATTCATGGAATGAAGCACGCCACTGGGAATTTTATTGTTATTATGGATGCTGACCTCTCCCACCATGTAAGTCTGTATTTTATGGGCTGTGGTTTTAATCTGTTATGATTACATTCTCGTTGATTTATTTCCCCCCCCCCTTCTCTTTCTTTTCTCATCTGTTCTCCTTCCATTTCAGCCAAAATTTATTCCAGAGTTTATCAGGTAGGTGCCAACTGTAGTGTGTGAGAATGCCTTCTGAACACTTACTGTTTCATAGTAATAATTTGACAGCTTTATATTCTTGTGTATCTGTCTGGCTGTAGTAAGAAATCTGGCAGGCAAGAATTCAAATAAAAGTAATTGGACCTCATTAGATGTGTCCCAAAATAATCCGGAAAAGTAATTCGTTGTGAACTCTAGTAAAAGTACTCAAGTTTAAAGTATCAGAGAGCATGTGTGGCTAAGTACTTACTTTCCTTGTAATGCTTGTTCAGCATTGAAAAGTGCATATATGAATGTCACCATCTCGTTGACGATTGCATCACGTGTGCATGTGGGGATGGGTACTGAGCAGAGGACCATTTTAGCTGAGGTTCTGCAGCAGTGAGACATGGTATGGGCTAAGGATAGTTCCAGACTTTTTTTTTTTTTTAACTTACTGTGGGTTTGTGTAATTTACATATTTTAATCTGTATGTAAAATCATTCTGTCTTTTATGCTGGAGGGAGGCTTTAAAAATGCATGTCGATCTTTATAAATTATTTATGAAATAGTCTAAGAAATTCTATGTCATAGTTGGTAAAAGATAATTATAAGATTCCCTGAAACAGCTCTTTGTAAGAGAACAATTAACAGGTTTTTAAATACATGATGCTTCTAACCACCATAACTATTGCCTTCCTCTCTTCTCTACTTATTTGCTCAAAGGCTTGCAAAATACAGATTTTGTACTAAAAGAGTGATTGTTCTTATTTTGAAATCTGTACTACCTCCATACAAATATTCCTTCTGTTTTTCTGATAAAACCAATTGCTTATAGAAAGCAGAAAGAAGGCAATTTTGACATTGTATCTGGAACAAGATATAAAGGAAATGGAGGAGTGTATGGCTGGGATTTGAAAAGAAAATTAATCAGGTTAGTATTTCTCTAGATACTTACACATACATTTGTTATGTAGAAATTGGTAAGAATTCCAAGTATTCAAGCAGTAAATCTGTGTGAACTGTAATGAGTCTTTAGGCAATAGTACCGGGTGCTGCAAAATTCTATTAGATAATAGAAGCATGCATGATTTGCCAGTCCTTTGGTTAAAACCCACCAATACAGAATGTAATGTTATGACCAGGTTTGAGAAATGGGTTGGAGCAGTGGACAAATCTGCACGCTGTTAGGGTGAGACAGTTCTGCAGCTTCGTGATCCAAAGAATGAGCTGGGACTATGTTGCTTTTGTCAAGTTTCAAAGACACTTTTAGTCAGCTTCAGTAGCTGTAATGGTCCTTTCCCTAAACACTAAAACACTTGCTAAACCCCTCTGTTGACACTCTGATTTGTCTTAAGAATTATCTGTCACAGTCAATGTCAATAAGTGATTACTTAGACCTTCCTGGAAAATGGTTACTGGGAGCGCTAGAGAATGATGTCGAGGCTGTATAAGCATATGGAGGCTGGTATCTCGGCTTTGCAGGGACCTACAGATTTTCAGGAGGTAATCAGCAAGTTTCTTCTGCAGAAGGTCTTTTCCTCTTGAGCCTTATTTAAGAAAACAGGCAGAAGTGAATGCTGATTCATAAGTTATTGTCGAGAATGAGGAGCAGAACTTGTGTCACTAGTCTGATCCAGAGATGGTATCACAGGGGCTGTACTTGGATTTCTGGAATAAGTACATCATACTTAACAACGTGAAAGACTTCCACATCTTATCAGTGTGTAACATAGCCCTCAGCAGCGTAGTTGTGACTGGCTTTTCAGTCTTGCAACATTTTTCATCATCAGAGCTTATCCTTATCATACTATGAAAGCAGTGTACACCAAAACTGAATCCTTATTTTCTAAATCCAAGGCTCACGTTCGTCAAGGAAGCGTTTTTATTGTCCCCTTACAATGACTGATAGAAGAAAAAGGTAGTTTTGACTGTTGTCAAATTTATTTCTTTTGTATTGTCGTACAGTGCAGTTGTACTGACCAGTCAAGCCTAAAGAACCAGACTGTAAACGTAATTTCTAAAAATCAGTGGTTTTTCTTTCATGAAGAAGCTCGATAATCTACTAATCACCAACATTTGAAAACCAAACAGGTTGAGTTTTGGCTTTAAGATGAACGTTTGTCAAATCTAGCAGTGAAAACATTAGAAATATAGTTGTTTCATATTAAACAGTAAAAGTGGTGGGGTGTTTTTGGCTAGTAGAATGGTATTTACGTACTTCCTAGAAACTCTGCTTGATCTTTTGGAGTTGTGTACTGAGCCATTTTAACATTCCTGTCTTCTTTTGCAGTCGTGGTGCCAATTTTATAACTCAGGTTTTGCTGAGACCAGGTGCATCAGACTTAACAGGGAGTTTCAGGTATGGGTCTGGTTTGCAATTCCTAACGTTTACTTGAAATTAAGAAACTGCTGAACAAGCAAGTGGAGTAAGAACAGACCTCCTGTTCTGAGGACTATGAAATCTGTTTGGAAGGGGTGTAAGAAGTAGTACACTAGACTGCAAGAACTGTTGTTCCTATGACTTCAGCTTTAAAGAATCAGTAACAGTAAAGATTGGAGTGAGTGATGACAGTTAAGATTCCTACACACTGTCTTGATTGCTGAAGTTCAGAAATGGTGCTTCAGGTTTCATTTTCTTTGTAAACATTTACAGGTTATACCGAAAAGAAGTCTTACAGAAACTGATGGAAAAATGTGTTTCAAAAGGATACGTCTTCCAGATGGAGATGATTGTTCGGGCTAGACAGTTAGGATATACTATTGGAGAGGTACAGTAAAAGTTTTGATAAGTACATTGTGCTTTCACTTAAACGCAGGTGCAGATTACTGGGAGCGTAGGAAATCTTGTGTGCTTCCAAGAAGCAAGATTTTTCTAATTCATATAAAGAAATTACATATATAGAACTCTATTTTTCCACCTTTTTCCAGGTGAATACTAGATGTGAAATTCCAGTTATTCCCCTGCCTTTCTCGAGGGAGAGAAATATTTTTCTATATATTCCTCAGATATATCCCTTTTCCTGTTGCCATTTCTTTAGCTCCATACAATTTTACAAGGCTCCTCGAAGGAGGGAAGGAAGTCAGAATATACCATGAGGCTGCTCTGAGCCTTTTCTTTGCTCCTTCATGTTGTACAGACATCTCTGGTTAGGTCTTCTCAAATTATTTTGTGTTTTCTAGCAACCTGATTTTATTTCAGATTTATTCTGTTCTCTGCCATTTATTTCCTTGTTATTTTTCAACTTTCCAACCTTCCACTTCTAAAGTCTTTGAGTGCCTGTCTACAATCATTGAAAAAGAACTCTAAACAATTGTTGGAGCCTGTATTTCCAGCAGTCTGATTGCTGCCTTTTATATTGAATTGAATTTTTCTTGCTGGTGTCGTTAAAGATGATTCACTGGAATTCTTATCTGCAGCCAAATCTTAGAACCAGTTCTTCATCATCATTTTCATGACTCTGAATTGTCAGAGAATTCTGTTGCTGGTGCTTCTCTCTCTAAACCTTATATATTGCATTTCTCTATCAACGTAGGGTAGAGTATTTCCAGACAATATTTTCTTCCACATTTCTGGCTTATGGAGCAAGGTCACTGTCCTGTAGCTGGGGTTTGACCCTAGTTTCTCTGGCCTTCACATCCGCCTGCATTCATGTACTGCTTTCTGATATTGCCGAATTAAATCCTCTGCTGTCTCTACATCCAGGTACTGAAACCTAGGGTGAGATGAGGTTTTATTTACTATACATTTTTTAAAACAGTAAAATACACTTCTCTGGCTTTAAAAAAGCAATCTTGGGCTGCTTATACCTCTTCAGGCTGCTGCTGCAGAGACCTTTTTTTTCCTGTCTGTTATTTGATGCCACCACCCACGTATTTGATGATACACAAGCCGCAGAGGCACGTAAATACAAGATACTCCTCTTCTGGTTCAAAGCCTGACAGACAGTCTTCACTCGGCCTGATGTCCCCCAGTCAGTGTGGAGACGTGGGCTCTGTTTCGGGCAGGGCCATCCTCCACAATTCGTCTCTTACGTGCTCACGTAACATCATCGTCCCTCCTCCCTTGGTTGCTCACCTGTGGGAAGAGTTCTCTCTAACATCTGAAATTGCTTTCTTGCTCTGCTTCGGTCTCATGATAGGGTGAACCTTGCCATCAAACTCCGTTAAGTCATGCTTTTCACAAATTCATATTAAAAATCACTTTTTTTCCTAATATCTTTGACAGTGATTATTTTAAGCAGCCTAAACCACTTGTTTGTGACAAATTGGCGTAGTCAGCAATATTTCTATTGTGACACCTGTAACAAACGTGACAGTGTTCAGATTGCTGACACAGACCTATAAATAAGACTGCTGTATTTTTAATGTCCTGTGTATCGTGTCTAGATTGTAACTTCCTGGGGCAGGACAGTTTTCCATTACATTTCAAGTACCTTGATATAGTATTTCCCAGTCAGTACTTAGGATCTTAATATATTTTATAATTATCCAAATGAAAATATGAAAATTCCAGAAGAGGTGACACTTGCATGTCTAATTCCTGGCTTGTGGGTGCTGCAACTCTACAGGCAGAAGAGGAGTTTTTATGCAATTGTAAAATGTAGATACAGTTGTGAGGGCAAAATATTTCTTAAGCAAAGTTGGAAACGAAGATTGAGACAAATGGATGAGGAGGTGAACTGACCCAAGCTATACCTGAATAGTCTTGTGAGCACCTCTGCTTCGTTTTGCTGCGCTATACATAAAGGTACCGTGTGTGAAATGTACTACAGTGCATGGAATACACCCTGTGGAAAATGCTTCCTTTAAGACTAATGCTAGAACTTCGTATGCAAGAAAGACGAAGTCCAGCAACAACACAGGTGGTTAATCCTTACACTAAAGGGAAAGACTGGATACCTTTTATTAGATGAGATATTAACCATTCTTTCATCACTGGTCAGAAATGTCACTTCTGACATCCTGCACTGACTACATATTCAGTGATTTCTGTTCGTACCCCGCAGATCAGATGCCTGGAGTCCCCAGGAAGCTTACTGGGATAGTCAGAGGGACCCTGCTAAGACAGCCAGTGTCACTGCTGAGTCTTATCTGCTTGCCTTTTTAGGCATCTTCCTTACTGTTGTCTTTCTCTGGGTTCTCTTCTGCCATGGACTGATCTGCTAGAATTGTGAGGAATGCTCAGCCCTGGCACAGATGCAAGGGTGTGGTGATTTTTGTGTTCCACTTGCCAGATGATTTCTGGTTGAAACCGCCAGCAGAACGTTAAGCCAATCTTTTAATGGCTTTTGCAATTGCAGTTCTTTAGCCCGTGAAGTGCTTCAATCTTGCACACAAGCATATATGGAAATTCTTGAATATTCTACTAGAGAGTTGGCAGAATGTCTTGCCATACGTCATTTGTACATGGTCAAATTACTGAAAGGCAGTATGTTCCTGCCATTTCTTCAGTAGGGACTTGGTGGGGACAGTATGATCGCTTAAGTAAGGAAACCAAAATTAGCGTGTTAAATGCCCTTTAATCCTGTAAATTATAAAATGGTTACAAGACAAGTATTGCTTGTAAAATGTACAGACTGCAATATTCAGATGAGGTTGAGCAGAACGCTGTTTTGTGGTGGCAGAAGGTGGTTGCCTTCCCGAGTCATTGACTCAAATGTTCTAACAAGGAAAGTGGCAAAGGTTCATTTTAACCCACAGGCTTTTAGTGCACTTAAGCTATTAAGTTTGTTCTGACTGGTGTATTATCCAACCACTGAGTAATGTCTTTGGATCATCTTTAAAGGTGATAAACCGAATAATTTCATGCTCCCCAGCTATGGGGCATCATTAAAGCCACTGGTAAGAAGAACTGACACAGAGTAAGCTAATCTGGTGCTTGCTGCCTTCCCATGTCTAAACATGCTGTAGTTCAAAGGCCATTCTTTTGTTTACAGAATATCTGATTATTTAGGTTTTGAACCTTAAAAGTAGTTTTGCTTGTTTCAACAGGTTCCTATTTCATTTGTGGACCGTGTCTATGGAGAATCTAAACTGGGAGGCAATGAAATCGTCTCCTTTTTAAAGGGACTCTTGACCTTGTTTGCTACAACATGATAGTTTACTCCTAAATTAACTTTCTTAGAAAAACATCTTCTGACATCTGTGTGGTTTTTGATATTAAATAGCAAGCAGAAGCCTGATAATTTGTGTGGTGACCCAAAGAGCTACTGTAAACTAACAATGAAATGAACCACCAATAATAAACTGAATATACTGCATCCCAGAATGCTCTTTTCAGAATAAACAAACTGTATGTTAAACTAAAAAATAATAAAGACTAATGCTGTCTTCTATTTTTGTCAGAATAATGAAGTCTTAATAAAGAACACAAAGCTAAATGATCTTTGCATTTTAAAATGAATCATTATTCAGCAGAAGCTAAAGATTTGCTTTTTGAAATAAAGACAAGCAAGAACATAAAAAAAACCACCCAAATTTATTTTATCTTTGTTTTGTAGGTTGCAGATAGTATTTTAAATATATGCCAGTTAGTTCCCTTTCTTAGCATGTGTACACATGTATGTTGAAGCAGGCATCTAGAACAGTTTCTAAAGAACTCATACTAGCTTGTGTAGTTTAAGAGGAAATACAGGTGAGTAGAATGATCTGTTCTTTGTAAAACTGTTCCTAGATTGGGAAGAAGGAGTGTTCTTTGGATAAGAAAGAGTGTTTATGGAGTAATTTTGTATTCTGTGTGTTTGTCCAGAAGCAGATGATGGATTCCCTTTTCCTGTTTTCTTTAGAAACTGAACACTTTTAGAATTTATAAAACAGGAGTATGAATCTCACCCAGCTTTAGGGTGTCAGAAGACCAAATTCACCTCACTGAAGACATTTGAAAAGTTTCTTATGTAAAATCTGTATTTGTTCCAGATCCTGATGAACGAAATACAGAGTAATACTGATTTTTGGTTCATGGTTTGATATAGCCACAACACAGAAATTATGAAGCCCTTCCACTCAAATATGCACTTGGGGGAGGGGGAAAGGAGTAAGCAGGAGGATGAAATTATTCTGATAATGGCTTGATATATATATGTGTGTGTGTTTGTATGAAAAATACGTCCTCATATGTGTGGGAGGGGAAGGGTAGGTCTGTGGACACCTGTATCAGAAAATTAGTGGCAGGAGAGGAGAAGCAACAAATGTCTTAACAATTATGCCTGTTTGGCTTGTGGTTGTCTCTGTTCCTTTAGTACACTGGATACAGTTGTTAGTGTTAGGAAAAAGAAAATCAGCAAGTCTGTAGATAAATGATGAATTCCCATTTCAGATAGTTATTTATCACCGTGACAAAAATAATCAAACAGAACCTTAGAACAAAAGCTTATTGTCTAGTGGACTGTTTAGAGATATTCCTTTGTTCTTTAGTGAAGTTTTACAGATTCTGATATTTTTCTCCTTTTCTGACTATTCAAAGCAAACATTTCATATTTAATTTGCTTTAAAATAATAAAAAATGTAGCTGTAGGTTTGGAATCAACATGTAACTGGATTACAGTGACTTAATTGTGCATTTTGTGACATTTGCCTGTACTTTTCCAGCAAATTGTATATAATTTCATTTGGTGCAGGCTAATCAGCTCTAATAATATATACAGAAATAAGTCTCTGGGTCTAAAGGGCCACTGAAATCTCTAGTGACTAGGTTTCATCTGTTCATGTTTCATTTGGAGGTTTCACGGCTAAAATCAGCATTTCACATTGGAAATAGGTACCAAGATTTTAATGACCAAATACTGAGTTTTTAGATGTTTATTTGCAGACTACTGAAACCCATTTGCTAGAATACAAATTGAGCCTCAACAAGATCATTTTTTCCTCAGACCTTTATGTAGCGATATGTAACTGAAGTCCATTACATCACTTATTCATGAGCCAATTGCTGCGAATTAGGGTTCAGCTTTTAGAATGTGCGTGCCTACTTTTTAATTATGAAAATTACCTGGTCAGTTTCTTTCACACATTTATGAGATCGGGTTTGGGGGAATATGCTTTTACGTATAAATTAGCATCATAACACATGGTATATTTGTGTGTTCCAATATGTGAAAGCTTGAAATGTGACTGGGCGATATTCGGGGGGGTGGGGGAGGTGTATAAAGAGGCAGTACTTCTTATTATGCTTTAAAATAATGGTGTTGTAAGTTCCTGAGAAAGAAGCGTGATGAAGAAATGAAAAAGCGCTCCGTGGCATCAGGACACCAGGAGACACTGCACTGCTTGAAACAAGAAAAGGGCACAAGAGTGAAACTGGTGTCAGTAGCCTGCACCGAGCTGCCTTGAGAAAGCATTGCTGAAAGAACTCGTACATGGATGCAGTGGAAAGAAGCAGAATTCAGAACAAACAGGATTCCCCAAGTTAGTGGGATATATGTACATATACGCACGCATGTATCTCACAATATATACCATGAAAACCATCTAGGGTTTCTTTGCATAGCAAAAAGACTCTGTATTTAGTCAAAAGACGGGCCTGGGCTGCAGATAACTCGGTGAATGTGGAACATGCTTCCAAAAGTTGTCTTACAGTAAGTTTTAAAAGCCTGAAGTTCAGAAGAGGGAGCTGCTCTTTGTGCACTGGCAGAGGGGAGAATCACACAATAGTATGCTGTTACTTTTGTGTTAGAAAAAAACAGAATCTTTGCCCAGAACTGGCCTAAATCAACCTCTCCATCTTTTCCCACATCTCAGCCTGCAGTTATTTCTCTCCAATGAGTTTCTCCACTGAGGTGACAGGCCATCTGGTTCGGAAGCATTCCCTGTCTTGGAGCACTGTAGAACCCCACCACGCCTGCAGAGCTCTCGACGTAGGAAAGCACTGCCAAACTAAGCTCCAAGGCTGCTTCCTATCACTGGCCTTTTCTCCTGCGTGCACGGCTGCGTGGGTTCATGAACGATAAAACTTGTAATCCTGTAACCAGTGTTCCCAGCTTGAACAGAGGGCCTTCTTTAATAAAGCTGGTGTCTTCCGCAAAGAATGGGATGAAATAGCCATCACTTGGTACCGCTTAAACTTTTAACAGGAACTCTTTTGAGTTACTTGAATTTGTTCTCGGCTTCTTTTAATCAAGTCTTTTTGTATTTGAAGACCACCTATGTAAATTTTTAACATAAACCCCCCAAATTTAAAAGAATGCATATTGTAGGGGAAGAATGGCTTATAAAGAGGACGTTATGCAGGAAGGGCCATGTACTCTTACAGTGCTCAAGAACGGGTGCAGAGTGAAAGCAGGTAAGAAGCATGGCTGGTGTGCCCAAACACACCAACCGTCAGCCATACAAGGTCTTCTGGAGCCAGAGGTCATGAAGGTATGGACCTTTTAATGGTTTCTTATGTTTTCTAAGGATTTGATTGCATTTTGAATCCTTTTAAAGTTTTGGCTTCTACAGCAATAAGTACAACAATTTTACTACACGTATTCTATGAAGTACTCCCTTTTGGTTAAGTAAGTTGTGTTAAACTTTCTGCCTAGTAAGTTCATTGGATGTTCTCAGAATCATAGAATCACAGAA